CTTTAAAATATCATTTGTGTAATCCTTATTCCCCCAATAGTTAATCTTTAATGAAAAGGATTAAACAATAATAAATAACTAACTGGTCTTAACTTGTAAGAATACAAAATACAATTAAGTGAAAATTAACTTACAAATAGATAGCTGGGGGATATTCTTCATTTGCAACATATGAAGAAATGTTTACAATGGGGGAAGTGATGGCTATTATGGCCTTCATTATTCCTCCTCGCTACAAATGCCTGAAATCCTTATATAGGCGAACAAATTTTTCAAGAGAATCTGTTGAATGATTTCTCATTTGACTGGGTAATTGCTTTTTTTTTTTTTTTGATTTACTTTAATGAAATGGGTTTTACCCTCGCATTTTGGTGGGATTCACTGGAGTAAACTGCATTTACTTAGGTGAATGCTAACTTTGCTGATAAGTGGGTTGGATGCTTTTGCTGATTTACTTTAGTGAAATGATTTTCACTCTAACCTTTTTGTGGAAAAGAGTCTTGACGAAATGTTTTTTTTGGCCATGATTCATAAAGAGAGAGTTTTTCTTTCTTTCGAGGGAAAAAGTATTGATTGAAGCTCTTTATTCACATGGATGTAGGACTTGAATGATAGGCCAGATGAATTATGGATTAGATAGATCATAGGCATTATCTAGGTCCTGGGCATCCAAGAATAGATCTTGCGGGTGACTAATAGAGGTTTCTGATGAGTGGAAGAAGCATCATCATCTTGAATAACTTGTTGGAGTAACTGTTGCTCTAGCTCAATTAACTGAGATTTCTTTTTCTAAGACTTACTGGAGATCTTGGAAGAAATTGTGGATTATTTTATTACAGGTGGTTGTGCTGGATGGACAGGAGTTGAAACTCTGAGAACTAGAGCTGTCAGTTTAACCATGAGTGGAACAACAGGTTTACCGGTGGCTGTACTTGTAATTGGAGTGGGAACTGTAACTAGAAATTCCGTTATAACTTGGTCAATGATGCAATGGTGCTCAGACTTTGCTCATCATTTGACGTAGAATTGGCGAATAACTATGTTAGTAGAAATAGACTACTGCCATTTGAGGATCCATGGAACCTTGTATTTACTCATAAATAGGAGCAATATAGGGAACTGTGAGTCATGTTGAATAACTTTAAAAGTAAAGGAGAAATAAGTAACTTGATTTTGGAGATCAAAAGGAAGAATTTCGAGCATCAGGCCATGTTGTTTCCACCACCGCAAAAGCCGTGAAGGAATCTGACTCTTGAAATTCTTTGTAGAGAAACAATTTAAACCATGACTCAATGTAGTCATAATAACTAAATTGCTTGGTATCACTAGAAAGATCTCGAAGAACATAAAGGTGAGATCCCTAGTCTTTTACTGAGATAAACTTGAGAATATAAAGAGAATGATAAACTATTTTACTAGCATCTTTTTTATCATTAACAGGTTTTATAAAGATTGACTCTGTGTGAAACAGGATGTCATGGTAGAATTGGAAATTTTTTACTAGATCTAGTGGAATGAAATTCCAACCTGGTTCAAGGTAGGCATCAAATATATATATTACAATAGAAAATCGAAAATTAGTGTATGCATATTGCAATAGACTGAATTGGTCCCTTAATTATAAAATTTATAAACAAATAGGTCTTTGTTCCAATGGTACTACTTACCTTGTAAAGGTTTTACCTTCTTGAGATCAAGAGTTCAAACTTCCTTCTCTCCCCCTCTTCTAAAAAAAAAAAAATTGAATTTAGGACACCACTTATTAGGTTGTCTATTTGGTAATTTGCACCTTATTTTAGTATTATAGTTAAGAACTTTTAAGTCAATTTACATACACTTCAACTAATTCTCTCTTTAGTATAATAAAAAATAAATCATCTATGCTAAGTAAGTTTTGAAGTTAGAACGTCTAAGCTTACACTTAATCCCTCTCCACTAAACTATATCTTACATTAGCTATGAAAGACTATTGCCCATGCCAAAATATAGTAAGTAACCATTATTGTCTTCGACTCCCACAGTCAAAAGACCATGAGTTAAATCTTGTCAAAATCAATAACTAATTTTTCATGTCTCTTCTTGTGAGGGTTTTTTTTTTTTGATATCGTAACAATGATTTATTTATGTGGTTACAATAGTTAGACATTACATTGATTGATGAGAGATTAACTATATGGTAAAAAAAACTATACATATATATATATATATATATATATATATATATATATGAGTCGAACAAAATATACAACAAATTATAAGTACAACAGACTAAAATATATGGCAGTTAATCAATTTCAATATGGTATCTATTTTTTTAAGGAGCTGTAGCATATCTTACAAGTAGATATGGTTTCATTTGAACTCTAACCTAATCATCTGTTTAGTTTTGTGGAAAAATAAATGAATGAAAAATGACATTTTTCTTTATCGCGTACGTAAGAAAAATTGAGGAAAAATGAAAAGCGGGTGAAAAATATAACCTTTCTACCCACCATTTTTAATCACTCAAAAAATGGGCGGAAAGTGAATGGAAGGAGGCAGCTGATGCAAAAGTTCCTTAAAAAGACCATTTTAACCCTAGAGAGGCAGATGTTTTTTATGTACCGAACCAAATTAATGGGGTCCGCAACACAATCATTTGTCTGTTGAAAGTTACCGTAAATATCTTTTATATATAGAAGTGTACTTATGATTATTCTTTAATATATTTTTACTCATTTATTTTCTCAGATGATATAAAATAATTAAAAAATATACATTTTTTTTCTTTAAATGCTAAAGAGTGTATTCATCATAATTTTCATTCGTTGTTTTTTATCTTTCATATTGTATGTTCATCAATTTTAATTATTATTTTAAATTAGACAATATGTAACTGTTAATTTAAAAAATAATAAATTATTGAAAAAAATTGTAGAAAGACAGTCCAGCACAGTAGGACCTACACGAAGTCTGCAGTGTGAAATGACAGAGAGGTATCACGGACGGAATCGCATCGAAAACACCCCCTCCCTCGGGAAATTCAACACTCTCTCTATCTCTCTCTCTCTCTGACTATCGGTCCCCACCCTTCATGAGCATGAGTATCGAGTATTGACTAGAAGCTCAATTTGGGTCCAACTTTAATTATGCTGTAATCATTCTATTGTATACCCTCATCTGAACAAACGGACTAGGACCATAGAGGTGACTTGCTTTTTTTTTCCAACCCATTTCGATTTCGAAACCAATCCCATCATCCACTTTCTAGCATGTTTTTCCTGCCAGGTTTTCTCACTATATTTTACTAATAAATTCTCATGCTCTATTTATCTGAGACAACCCCATTTCTATTACAATTACGTTAACTAATATTATCAAGTCGATAAATTAACAACATTTGATAAGAGCCTCTAACAATTGTATCGATTTCTCCTACTGTCCCATTCAAACTTTTGCACATTCACATTTACCCTTCTAAAAACTAGTTCAGGTGTAGTTTGTCCCCGTTAGACCAATTATGGGATACATCATCTTCTCGTAGATAATGTTTGTTTCTGTTATGTACTTATTTTCTATACATTTATTTTATGTAATATTAAAGGTAATTAGTTAGTTAATTGGAGAATATGTCATAGTGAGTTAGTGTAAAGTATTTTGTGAGGAATTTTCTAGGCAGTTATTAAGATAATAGAGGCATGAGTTAGATTAGCTATTAAGGTAATTTTTTATCAACTTATATTTAAAGGGTTTTATTATCAGTAGAAATAATATGTTGAATATTATATTAAATTTTCTTGTGAAGTTTTCAAAATAGGTTATTCTCGAATTGAGTCATTGAAAGTTTTCATCCCCTACGAAACTAGTTTTTTTCCTTAATTTTATTTTTTATTTGTTTTATAAATCACTCAAAATTGTGCAGGTAACAATTTCTTTTTTATTTAAATTAATTGAGCTATTTTTGTTGTATTTCAAATATGTGAAAACAATGTGTAATATTATTTGAGATTTAAAAATTTGATATAATTTATTGATATAATAATATCTTATATGATAAAATTTAAATAAAAAAATTGATATTTATAATTATATACTAACACTATTAAATTATATTATTATCACATCATTAAATTATTTATTACTAGAAGACAATTGTCACTTTCACAATGAAAACCACTGTCCCCGTACAAAAACACCTCATTTTCTGTGTTCAATCTACCAAAATAAACATTTTTACAATCACTTCATCTTAGCCAAAACAATTTAAAAAAACTTAACCAAAACACTGAGACATGTATAGAATGCACTTTATTGATTGATATTTGAAAACCCAATTAAGGTGTGAATTAAAAAAAAAAAATTGGGGTATATAATAAATATAGGATGGCATTGTTTTATTTCTTTAGGCTATAAGTGACTATTTTTAATTCTTTGGTCTTGATAATTGAAATTTGAGCTCGAAAAGCTACAAATTACACAATAATCTACACATTCTACTAACAAGCAGCATACAGCCAATGCATACATACAAAACACATATAACACTGTTTTAGAGAGGAGAGAGAAAGATGGTGGCCCAGCAGCTAAATCTATGGCTCACCCACCGACTTTGAAAATATGGGTAAGATAAAGGAGAAAGGATGTGGAAGAGTAAGCTTGTGAGAGAGAGAAAGAAAGGGGTGGTTAGAAAAAGAGATGAAATATTCTCTTTAGCTCTCATAGTTTTTGGTCTTTTCTTTTGAAATCAAACAAAGGTCTCGCACCAGATCTCTGTAACAAGAGTCCGAAGTCTCTTAGATCATAGTTATTTTGGTCTTTTAGGATCCATATGTGTCCGTGTTTTTCTTGTTCTTTTGGCAAAATCTGATAGTTCTGAGATTTGAATACTACCAAGAGTTATCTGTTTGTGTTTGGAGAAACTCTTGGTTGTTTTTGTTTTCTACTGTTTTTGCTTTCAAACAGCTACTTGTTTCCTTACTATCAAAATCAATAACAACAAAGTTTGAGTTCAGATGCAGATGATGTCTGGTGATTTGTTTTCGGTTTCGCCATCAATCAAAGGGTTTGTTCCAGAATCAGATGCGAACCCTAACCCTAAACCTGACACAAACCCATCTGCAAAGAAGAAGAGAAATCTACCAGGAACACCAGGTTCTTCATTTTTCAACCTAATAATTCATTAAGGAACTGTACTGTTTGGTTTTCTTCTTTCCTAATTGTTCGTCTTCAATGATTCTTTTCTGTTTTTGTCTGTTTTCACAGATCCAGATGCTGAAGTTATTGCACTTTCACCGAAGACACTTATGGCGACAAACAGATTCATCTGCGAAATCTGCAACAAGGGATTCCAAAGAGACCAGAACTTACAGCTGCACCGAAGAGGTCACAACCTTCCATGGAAGCTCAAGCAAAGGACTAACAAAGATCAGGTCAGAAAGAAGGTGTACATATGCCCAGAAAAGACTTGTGTACACCACGACCCATCTCGAGCCCTCGGTGACCTCACCGGAGTTAAAAAGCATTTCAGCCGAAAACATGGTGAGAAGAAGTGGAAGTGTGAGAAGTGTTCGAAGAAATACGCTGTTCAATCTGACTGGAAAGCTCATTCTAAGACCTGTGGAACTAGAGAGTACAAATGTGACTGTGGCACACTCTTTTCCAGGTATTTTAATTCTCTCACAATAAATGTTCTTGTTCCTAGATATAAATGCACATGTAGAATCTCTTATGAATTTAATGTTATACCAACTCATTAGAAGGTAATATAAGTGTTATTCTCAACTGGGGCTTCATCAATTTGCACAGGAAAGACAGTTTCATCACACACAGAGCTTTCTGTGATGCCTTAGCTGAAGAGAGTGCCAGATTCACATCTGTTGCTGCTGACAATTTCAACTTCAGGAATGGGCCTTTAAGTGAAACTCTGATTAATCAGCCAAATTTGCCTCATGGGTTCGCCGGAGCTGCCGGAATTTCCCAACTTGCTGCAGCATTTCGGCCGGAGTCTGGTGGCATGGTCACCGGAAATGTTCTAATCGGAGATCAGCAGAAGCCCAGATTGTCTCTATGGTTGGATCAAGCAAATTCTCAGCTTAGTCTTGTTGATATGGCCACAAATTCAAATCTTTACATGCCCACAAGTTCTACTGGCTTAAATGATATGGTGCAAATGCCATCTGCGAACCTCTTTGGCTCACCTTCAATGGCTAATTATGGTAACTGCAACCAGTCGCAGTGGTTTGACAAGAATCCGGCGACTTCTACTGATGCAAGTCTCTCATTATCGCCTTTACCACAAGGATTAAAGGATGAGAAAACCCTAAGTAATTCTTTCTACTCTGATAATCAAAATCACCAGTCAAAATCATCATCGCCAATGTCGGCCACTGCGCTTCTGCAGAAGGCGGCACAGATGGGTTCTACCAGAAGCAACCCATCATTCTTTGGCAATAGTTTTGGGGTTATGAACTCTTCTTCTTCTTCTTCCAACACACCTGCTTTTAATCCCCTCTCTCAAAACAGAAATGGATTGCCAATGAGTGCATCGACGAGTGCAACTCAGAACAGTCTTGATCAAGTTATAATGCAAACTGGTGTCTCACAAAACGAATCAGTTCCATTGAAGTTGCATCAAGGTGGTCTAACAAGAGATTTTCTTGGCATGGGAGGTGAAGGTGGTCGTCAGTTCTTGCCTCAGGAGCTAGCAAAGTTTGCTTCAATGGGTTCAGCCATGGGTTTGAGCCATTTTAAGAGCAACCAGTGAATTTGTGGCCTCTCTTCACACACACTTCACAGCCTTTGTATAATATTACACTATCCAAACTTGCCAAGTCCTTAGTTAAGTACAAATTGTGTCTGTTCCATTAGATTAAGAAGGTGGATATTATTGGCCTCAGAGGGAGGGAGAGAGAGAGGAGGGTACAGTGGAGCTGTTGAGGTCCCATGGGATGTCGGAAGTGGACTAAACAAGGAGTCCTCTGAGACGTTTCATTTTGTTCATTTGTTATTGTTCTTCTTCTGTTGTTCTTTATCTATGTGTCAGTTTCTCTCATCTTAATTTTTTTTTCTTTTGAGTTGTAAATTATCTTCAATGCAAGCCTCTTCTATTTTGAGATACATAAAAACTGCAAGAATAGTTTCATTGATGGCCGGTCAAAGTAACCCGGCGTCAACGTTAGTGGGACTAGTACTAGAATTCTTAGATTTATCCATGTCAATTGTTTTAGATAAAAGCTGGTCGCTGCTGGTTTGGTTTGTCAATGGTAAACGCGTTGTGATTCACTGTTGATGATAAAGTTTCAAGTGTTGAAAATGAAAATAAGATGAAAACACAATTACATGTAAAGTCATGTGCATCACTTAATCTTGAATTTTGTGTGCTTTCGAGAATTTGAAATATGGATGTGCGAGTATATAACTCGTCCACTCCCTTGCTCGACCACAGTATTAGTAATGGTCAAAAAAAATTTCGGATTGGTATTTTTTTTTTGGGTTGAACTTTCAACATGCTATGCATTAAACAAAAAGTTTATCACCATAGATAGCCAACTTTTAGTTTTTCAAGTGGACTTTGAAAAGGGCAATGAAAGTAACTATTGACTTTTCATTCCCTAAATTTATATGAAAAGTTTTCTCTTGACTTTTGTTCTGCATAAATCTATATGAAAAATTGTAACATTTGTACCAGAAAAAGAAGATAAATAGGAGCTTTATACACCTAGGAACTAAGGCAAAATATTTGTTTTTTCCAACAAGGAACCTTGGAAACTGCCTGGTTTATTATCGATTTTATTCATCTGTCAATGCCAGATACTCTAAGAAGCAAAAGGGTATTATTCCTTTCGAGAAAAATTTGAATGAGTTTAACAGATCATGTGATATTGTCATATATTATGTATGCCCAATAGAAAATTATCGCATAACTAACTTGTGAGATAGAAAATTTGACTTTTTTAAACAAAAGTTCTGATAAAGTGATAGTCATCAATCAATCATCGAAAATGTATAATATTTTATTGATAATATACAATATTTAGCACTGTCACGTGTTGTGTTAAACTCACATAAATATTTCTCCCTTTTGACAGTGATTAGGGTGGATAAAAGTGACGCCGCTCTTAGCTTAGGGTAGTGCAGTCTCTAAGGAACCATTGTTGGCCACTCAATTTTGACTTTCTACTACAGGAGGATCTGAGTCAGATGATACTGAATTATTAGATGGCACGTTGATGGTGCTAAGATACCTTGAGTTAACAGATCAACATAGTCAGAAATCCAAATCTAAGAAGGGTTGATACTGTTTTGATTATAACTTTTGATTCGTTTGGAGTTTCAAGGCCTATAATATATTAAATCGAAACTCTCAACGAATCCTACAAGAATCACGGCCCTATGGCAGTGAGAGGCATAATTTAAAGCCGAAAAAGGCATGAAAACTTGTGTTTGGGCCTTCCAAAGTTTTTTCCCAATTTTGAGTTTATTTGAATTTTTTCGTAATTTAATTATTCCTTGCGTAATTAGGGTTTTCAGCTTATTGTTTAATATTTAAAGGATGTTTTCATGTGTTTTAGGGTTAACTATCATTATTCTAATTTTATAAAAATTGTGACTACTTAGTTAGTTCTTTTTGAGCGATTCTCTTGTATTCTTCTCTGTGAATTATCTGTTGAAACTAACCTGTTGAATAATTGTTATTCTGTCCGGTTTCATTTTCCAATGCACTTTTTGTAAGACCTGGGAAGTAAACTGGAAGTCCTTAAAATCAAACTATATATATAGAACCAATGAGTCATGTAGTGTAGTCCCCTCCCTCCCTAGAAAGCACAAAAAGAAGAGACCATGCATTTTGAGAGCTTAAAGAAAGGGATGAAGCTTTTTTTGGGTACTTGTCACGACCAGCTTTTTGAGGCTCGGATCGGAAGACCAGGTAGACCCCCCTGCTCTGCTCTATAAGATTTAAAGTTGTGTATCCATTTTATTAAAATAAACTCTTTCAGTTTTCAATACCATTCCTTGACCTTGTGTTTTGAAGTTTCAATCACCCCAAGGTTGCAAGGAGGATGATTAATTTAATTGCACTTCTAATTGTTGTAGTTATAGGAGAATGATTATGGTATCGAAAAATAATTTTTTGATATTGTAAATCTATAATTCAATAAAATTTAAACGAATGTGAAAGTTATTTTTATTTTATTGCTTTATATTACTTCATTATATGCACAATCAATCAAACCAATATTAATAATTCTCGTTTAATTCCGGCATGGTCCCGCATTTTTTTGTGTGGGTACCATAGTGCTATATGTAGTTATATTTCAAATCCCCTTAATAAGATAAGCTTTCATGGTGAATGGCTATGATAACAAGGCTGGCTTGACACAATTGTAGCTTAAAAGACTTAAAAGTGACAATTGGTTAACCTTTTCATTTGAAATTTATTCTATTTATTTTTGAATTTCTAATTTTTAATTAAAATTTTATATTCAAGTTTTGCATGCATATCTCTATAACTAATACATGCAATCTTTCTTCTAACTTAGATAATATTTTATTAATTTTAATTTCAAAAAATATATTTGAAACAACTATTATATGTAGGGTAAATTTAATGTGCACCTTTTATAGATAGACCTAACTTCAAGAATATTTCTTGCCTTTTTTAAACCTTCACTTACACCTTTTCTCAATATTTGTCTAATAATGAAAGTAACATAAATGTCTATTTTACCAATTTATCCCTAATCATTTTGTAAATTTACATATTAACTATTTGGAAAAATTGCATCTAAATTTCTTGAGGTTTATTACTTAATCACTTAAACTCCCTAATATTTCAAATATTACAAATAAACCCCCTAAAATTTGTTCGCGCGTAAAACTTAGACTTCTGCTTTTAATACCCGTTAGTATATCTATTAGTAAATTACACCAAGACTCCCTGAAGTTTGTAGAGTATAACACTTAGGCATCTCAAATTTAAATTATTATACTTAGACCCCTTGTTAGTTATAAAATTAACAAAATTTATTAAACAACCAAATTATCCGACTTAAACAGAGAAGATATTGTGTAAATTATAGTTTAACCCTTTGTTTGTTTTTTAGTTTTATGACAATAGATAGTATAATTATATAAAAATGAGTGTTGATTGAGTTCTTTGATATATTTATACTGATTACTATTTTTTCCTTAAAAATTGGAAATTTGTTTGGATTTTATATCAATGAATGATATAATAGAACATACAAATGTGTTAATTAGACTTATTTTCATATATAATGTTGGAAAAATTGCCCTAATGTAAAAAGTCCATTTAGTCCAAGATGCTCCAGGTATGTCACTCCTAACTTCTAAACGCAATTCATACATTTGAGTCACTTACTAACTTAGGCATTGGAGAGTCGAGCCTTAGAGCTCCTATTTGGTCCCCAACATCTTTTTCAGGTGATCAAACTCCAACAAACTGAAGTAGAGGTCATCTAAATTTTGGCATCAACAGTATCTAATTTAAAATATTTTATATTATATTTTTAATTAGAGTATTTTTGGTTTCAGTATAATATTTTAAAACTTAAGGATTCTAAGTATTATACGCTTCAAATTTTAGGAGCCTAGATGTAATTTACTAACAGAAATTAACAGCAAGGGTCTATGTGTCACGCGCGTACAAATCTCAGGGGGCCTATGGGTAATATTTCAAATGTCATGAGGTCTAGGTGATTAATCGACAAACCTCAGAAGGTTTGAATATAATTTTTTCTAATTATTTTAATAAAATTACAAATTAACTATTCTAATAAAACATATATATATATGCACAAACAAACACACACAAGTAATGCATGATGTATATTGCACATGAACATATTAAACAATAAAGTATGTGTCAAATAATTAATTTTTATTTTGATTATTATTAAACCTAATTATTGATCTATTTTATCGTTCTTTGAATACCTAATCTATTATTTTTATGTCGTAAACACTGTCCATCCCAAACCACATAAAACCTCTAGACTGCCACGCCACAACCTCCACCCACATAAGCCACTCAAAAGTTGATGCCACTTTATTCGACTTTTGATAGTGTCCAATTTAGGCAGTGATTTGGGGCGCTGCCTATTTCAAATTTACGTCCATCTCTCTCTCTCTCTCTAACGTGTTTTGACTAGGTGGTAGAGGATATGCTCTGGTGTTTAGAAAAAGAAGTACGTTGATCATGCGTGTAAGACTGTAGAGTTATTGCGAAAATTGGGTTGTCACTTTTGTGATGCCTTTGGTGATGTGCTAAGTGAATAGGATTTTTATTTTTGTTTGGGTGGTGGTGATGGTGGTGGTAGCTTTAAGTCTACACGCATGGGTGGCGGGTGGGAGGAGAACTTGGAAGCCTGTAGGGGAGGAGTTTGTTGGGAAGAAGAAGGGTAAATTTGGTATGTAACCAAAATATTTGCATGACATAAACACTTTTCAGATTGTCATTCACGATCAATTAGGGTAGGAGCTCTGAATGAAGTTGAAATAAAAGACAAGTGGTGTCATTGATATTAGACCAATCTATAAGGGTGTTAATGCAATTTACACTTATATGTATTGTCAATAATATTTGGTGAACAATGTATTTAAAAAAATAATTCAATTGGACTGTTATTTTTGGTTTGTAATTTTTTTAAACTTTTTGGGGAACAAACATTTAATCCAATGATACTACTTATCTTGCGAAAACTTTAAAGTCAAGGGTTTAAATCTTTTTTCTCCTCCCAAAAA